ACCTGGGGACAGCGTAGGCGTTGGAACAGAAACCTGAGGCGCCAAACAAACAGGAACAGGTGACCACCCACCCGCGCACTTCCACTGGCCCTTCAGCCCGCGGCAGCGACGCGCGGACGGATGCGCTCTATCTTGACGCCGCCCCCCCTGCAACAGTGCTAGGTCCAGCGCCGAGGAGCGACGGCGCTGCGGCCAGCGCGCGACGTCGGTGCATCTGCCTGGATGCGGCTGGTCGCCGGGCCTGGTCCCGAGAACCGGCGACCCTCCAGCCCCCATCGCCGCCCGCGGGGCGGGGCTTACGACGACCCTCCAGCCCCCATCGCCCCCATCGACGCCAACGACGATGACGACGCTGACGAAGACGCCGACGACGCCGACGCCAACGCCATCGGCCCGGGGACAACAGGCGTTGGAAAAAGAGCCGGGGGCGCGGGGCGAGCAGGAGCAGGCGGCCACCCGCCCGCGCACTTCCTCGACTGACCCCCCAGCCCGCGGCAGCGACGCGCGGGCGGACGCGCTCCATCTGGACGCCGCCCCCCCCCGCAACGGCGTGAGCCCCCGCGCCGAGGTGCGACGGCGCCCAGCATGCGCCGTTGGCGCGTCTGCCTGGATGCGGCTGGACACCAGGCCTGGCCCCGAGAATCGGGGATCCCCCAGCCCCCCCGTCGCCCGTGGGGCGGAACCTGGCGCCCGACATCGTCGACGGCCTGGCGGGGCCCGACAGGCGACAGGCAGCGGGCGGCGCGCGCGGCGGAAGCAGCAGCGGCAACTCCTGGAACCAGCGAGCCGCCTCGCCCGACGGGGGCGGGTGGCGCGCCGCCCGCCAGCGGCCTGAACTCCTGGATCGCGACGCGGGAAAGCAGCTTTACAAAGTCAGGATCGCAGGCGTGAAGTGGGGCGTTCACGCGGGGCCTCCAGGCAAAAAGATCAAGCGACTCCAAGTGGCCCTGGGGGCGATGTTCGCAGGCGCCGCATGCGCTCGTCCAAAAGCACCCCTCGCCCGGCTCCAAACGGCGCGCGACCCACCCCAGCACGACCAGCAAACGTGCATCAGTTTCTTGGGCCCCTTCCGCCACCAGAGGGGACGCGCGGCCCATGGGCGACGCGCTGCGCCTCGGGGCTGGCCGGAAACAGCTGCGCGAGCGGTACTTGTGGCGCGGCGATGGCACGGGCGAGGAAGGCGATGCCCCGCCGCGGAGACGGGCGCCCATGGCCCAGGGTGGCAGCCGCCCCCCGGGAAGGCCAAGAAACCAAGATGGGGGGGGGGGGGGGGGGGGCGTTCCTGGGCCCAGCACCACTGCCAGGGGGGCCCTGAAGGGCCAGTTCCTGGTCCGGCTGGCACCGCCCGCCGTCGCAGCAGCACTCCCAAGGCAGAGCCGCCGCTCCTGGGCCTGTTTCACAGCGCGCAGCCGCCCCGCGGGCAGCCCAACGCGAGCTACCCCTGGTCGCGCTGCAGCTACGTGCAGTCAGTCTGCCCGTGCTTGCCCCCTCCAGGACCCGCCCGCTGGAGGGCGCGGAGCGGCCGCAGCCCGGCCAACCCCGCTTCCTCCTCGCACAGCACCTCTCCGCCACGTTGTCGCGGCCCGACTACGCGTTCTACTACCTGGGGACCTGGGGGCCGCTTGTCTCCTCGGCGTCCGCTTGGCGCGACCTCCTCGCGTTGCCCGCGCCGGTCTGCCGGTGTCGTTCATGCTGCTCCTACGGGGTTGTCTGCTCGTTTCTCTATGTCTGTCTGGCCGAAGGGTTCATGGACGTCGAATTCGACATGCGTACCTGAGAATTGAACGACGGTTTCTCTCGCCCTGTATGTCACCGCCGTCCTGGGTAAATGTGGCGTTCTCTCCGTGGTCGCAAGTGGGGTCGCCTTCCACTGACCTGCATCCTGTTCGACACCTACATGGACGTGTTCCCGGTGCCGCTTCGCGATGCCGCCCGCGCCATTTTGGCTGCCGCGAGCTCCGCCCTGCTCTGTGATTGACGCTGATCGCCGTTTTGTGTTTTGTTCGTGGCTTGTGGCGCGGCCTGCCCGCGCTTGCACGGCGTTGGACTCGTTTCGCGCGCCCGCGTGCCAAGAAAGTATCCCCGCCAGCCCATCCAGAAACCATGCCCAAGGGAGTTGGGGTGATCAGGGTACTGGGGGAGCATGCAGAAGAACGAAAGGCGGGGAAAACCGCCCGAGACCCCAAGAAGGGGAGGACTATAGCGAAGGAGGAGGAGGAGGAGGAGGAGGAGGAGGAGGAGGGCGATGAGGAGGAAGGATCGGGCCCCGTGCTCCGAGTGCGGCAGGTGCGCCGCGCAGTCCATCCACGCTACGTGCGCCACGTCCGGGGCGCGTGCAGAGTGCGTCAGGTGCGCGCGCGCACGTGACAGCACACATCGGGAAACATGTCGGTCCCCACCATCTGTGTCGAAAACCAATGCCCGCCATTGTGTTTGGTGGGCCTGCGCACAGCAGGCCACGCGCCACCACCCCCGCTGTCCCTGTCAAAAACCACTTGACAGTGATCGCGGGGTGGCCGCGCATGACCCAGATTTCGCCGCGTGGTGCATATTGAATTGTGGTTCGTTAGGGATAGTAGCCCTGCGCGCAGCAGGGAATATGCTGACGCCCCCGCCGTGCTTGTCAAAAAAACAATACAAAGTGCTAGCAAGCCTCCCGAACATGACTCAAGACTTTGCCCCAAAGTGTATGTTGCATTGTTTTGTGACAAGGAAGGTGGGGGTGGGCCGAGGCGGCCGCGCATGCTCCAAATGTGGAGGCGGACTGCGTATTTTGATTATTGTTTGACCGGCCGGTAGGGGGAAAGGGTTTATACGAATGGGGTACAGTGATAAACCTTTCCCCGAAGGAGAAGAGGGACGGGTGGAAGAGGAAACGCTCTAGAGCACCTACGCTTTAATGGGCTGGTGGGTTCGAGGTGGATCTATCCGTTGCGGCGAAAACTGTAACACAGGATTGCAACGTAGGCAAACGATTGAGGCTTCGCGTATCCCAGCCTTCCCATCCTGAACTGACGCCCGCGCGAGTTGCAGTGATTTAGCAAGTACAAAAGCAAGCACTGGAACAACGAGGGGCCAACCGTCGAACAGAAGTTCGGGATCAGCCGCAGCAGACTCAGGAGTCCACCGCAAATGTCTCCGCGGATCTCGCGATCTGGGGAGCTTCTTGAAGGTAGCTTACTTGAACCATCTTGGGGCTGTTGTTGAGGCCATCGGGGGTCTCTTGGGGCCCTCTTGGGGTCCTCTTGGTAGTCTTGTGGTCCCTCTTGAGGCTATCTTGGACGACATTAATCAGGTAAGGGATGGTCGTTCATGTGACCCGCTTCCATTGAGCTTAAAGAATCCCCTCTTGGGGCATTCTTGGGGCGCTTCGGGGGTGTTCGTGGGGCCGCATTGGAGCTCTATTGAGCACCTGGTGTTCTTTTGGGGGCCATCTCGACACCATCTCAAGGCCTCAGAATCGGAAGCTAAAGGCGAGAATGCCAAAAGCATGTGTTTCCCTAAGGTGTTGCCACTTGGGGTCTACCAGGAAATCCATGCCAGCTTCGGGTTCGTGTCGCGCGTTCGGGCGAGGTGAACCTGCGCGACGGACGACGATGTGTCGAGTCCGAGAATTCGCTTCTTCAGGCCTCTTAGGACGCTGTTGTGGCGCTCTTGAGCGACCACCTGGCCATCTTAGAGCTCTAAGGGGTCCCGCTCTCGGGGGCTCTGTTGGGCGATCTTGGAGCCATCGCGTTGCCCCAGCTTTGGTCAAGATTCGGTCTCTCGGGAACATGGTTGCGGTGCTGCATGGCCACTTGGGACCACCGTAAGGCGGTTGTGGGACATCTTGGAGGCATGTTGGAAGCTGTATTGAGCCACCCTGCGATATCTGAGAGAGCGTCTTCTGTGCAAGCTTCACTGGTGCTCTGGAACCGCCCCCCCCTCCTCGACAATCTCCCCCCTCATCTTCGCGCTCCTCTCCCCGGCGACAATCCACCCCACCCCCCCATACCCTTCCGAAAGTCGTGCGGCGGGTTCACCCCCCCACACACCTGAGAGGACGGCTGGCCGGCGGCACGGAGGTCGGTGACGACCGTGGGCGGCGCCGCCCTGCCAACGACCGCCCCCCCCCTCCCCCTCGAGGCCTGCACCGCGCTGGCGCTCACGGACCAGTGGGGCGCCGGGAAGGCGGGGCTCCGTGCGGGGGTTGCGGTTGCGGGCCAAGGGGGGGAGAATGTCCGAGCCGGACGAAGGGGTGAGGGTTTCCAGCTTCGGTGAAGAGGAGGGGAGGGGAGGAGAGGAGAGGGAAGGGGAGGGTGGGCTTGGCTGGGCGAAACCGTGACATTCTTACGTCGCGAAAACATCACGACGAGAGTTTTCGGCATTTTTGGCCTCTGGGGGCCCTCACTTTGCCCCAGGATCGTCACAAGTAGTCCACGTGTGAGAAATGTGCCCAGGGCGATGTCCAGACTTTAGGGAGACTTCTGGTGGACGAAAAATGTATGATGAATCAGCTGTCGCACGTTTTTGTTTGTTCGGGGTGTATATTTCGAGCGTCGGAATGCTCTCCAGCAGATGCTCTCCGCCGAGAGCGTTCATGACGTTCCCGAATCGTCCCGATCGGCCTGGGATACGGAGATTTCCGCGCACTCTCAGAATAGGCGATCCTTCAAGATTCTGGGGATTGTCAGGGAATGAATTGCAAATTACATCATGGAACAGACCTATGTTGCTTTCACTGATTCCGAAGTTGATCTGGAGACGCCATTCGGACCCGATCACTGCCCCAGGCGAAGGAACAGATATGCATGCGCACTAGATGCGGAAATCAGGTAGGCGGTCCAAAGCTCAGATTTGATAGAGCAATACAACAATGAATTGGGGCTCAACCTCAGATCCAAGGTGAGGAAAGCTTCCCGATCGATTCACGAATGCATCGGTGAGTTTGAGGGCCAGTTCGAATTGAATGAGGACACCACAGGCGATAACGCCGAACTTTGGGATCGAATGGTTACCAAATATGATTAGGACACTGCCACAGTCGCGGTTGGCGTTCTGCGATCATATAAAGAGATCGGAGTACCTAGTATAGGTTCAACCGATGCCGGGGGCCCAATGGATGTTGATGATGTTGCTGGCTCCACCAGTGGCAGCATCGATCCTCGAGCTCAGGCGTCGCCAGGTGCTGCCGACACTGAGCAAGCGGCTGCTGCCAGCGAGACGACCGCTGCCGCCAGTCTAGCTTCGATTCGCGATATGGGGAACTTTGCTGGTTCAGCCAGCAGCGTAGCACCCATGACAAATACAGTCTCATGACCGTGGGAAGCAATGGATGCAGAGCCCGGGACGGGTGCGGCCGCTGGTTCAGCCAGCGGCCTACATCCTAGTACCCAGGGCGCCACGTCTTCGTCGGCGGCCGCGCCGACCCTGGCAGCTGGTGGGCGTCTCCGTCGCGGACAGCCAGGCGAGCCGCCGCAGGCTCGCTGCGCGCTGCCTGACCCGCCGATGGCACCAGCGCGGACGCAAAAGAGTCGCAGTCCTAAGTTGTTTGCCGCTCCGACGACACGCAGAGCATGGGCTGATATTGCGCCTGACGAACTGGACGACATGTGGCAAGCTGAGCCACCGTCGTTCGACACCGCATCAGAGGCATTAATTTTAATCCGACGAACCAGCGACGTGATACAGAGAGATTGCGACGCTGCAGGAGCCGGTTAATTGGATATCACAAGGCATTACTCAACAAGACATGGTAATTAATGTGTTTGTGCAACATGAGTGCGAGGGAGGTGGCAGTTCTGGCGCTCCTTAGAATGCAAACAGCTATTGCCATACCAAAGGGCAGGGGAAACAACATTGGTGAACACAGGGGAGGAGACGGGGCCGGTTTTCATCTGTGCCGAACACATACCTGCTGTAAACGATAAAGAGAAAGCTTCTGATCGCGAACATTCACCTTTATATGTGATTCAGTGCATTGCTCATGCGTGGGATACGTCATTCCAGTTCGGCCTTATTCAAAGCGCTTCCGATTGTAGTTGTTACCCCGCCCTGTGCGCTGTCAGATTTATTTATTGGGATTGGCGCCAGGGGGGGCAAAGTGCCGAGGGGTGACACGAAGCCGAGGAGCTCCGAAGTGAGCTGGACCTGGGCCTGCGTATCCCGCCGCGGGGGGAGTTGTTAGAACTCTTTTTCCGCCGGTTCTGTGCCGCCGCCCGGCCGCTGCCGCTGCCGATTTTGAGCGTATCGGACTGCAGCTGTATACATATTCGAGCAGGCACAGCGGGCCTGAACTGCATGGAAAAGCGTGCGTACCGGGTCGTCGCCGTGTCGCCGTTTCTTTTATTACTTGCGCATAGCATATCCATTACAGCTTAATGGACACCACTGCCGTGACGTTGCGTGATTTCCAGGAAATTGAGGAGACCAATCGTGCGCCACTATCATAAACCATTTTTGCAGGGGGCAGCGTTCCCGTGGCAACTGATTCGAAGGGCTGTTGGGATGCTATTCTTCAATGAAAAGTTGTTGGTTCTACATCCCCTTCTTGAGCCCGGACTTATCGAACCTGCCTCTGGAGCGTGGCCAATCATTGATGGTTTGGCGTCGTCGTCCATTGCTCCTCATATGATTTCACCGCATCCCATGTATCGCAACACACCATGCTTCAATAACCCCGTGCGCTACGCGCAACAATTTTCACGCGCGCGCGTCGAAAGCATACGACGAACACAATGCGCGCGCGTTGCAACATGAAGCCTCAATCACCAGTTAGCTGCTGCAAATCTTGCATTGTGCTCGCGTGCGTTTGCTGGCGTCACGTGTAACACGATGATTTCAAGAGTTCCGTCCGGGACTCGCATTCTCATCTTACCGCGCGGTGCAGCGGCGTTGATCTTGCATGCGCCCAGTCCGCCAATCCGTATCAATTAATACCACGCGAGCTCACACGACCGCCGCCACGCGCGCGTTTCGAAATCCTGCCTAAACCAGTCGCCGTCATCGAAAAAATCAAGATTGAGCCCCCGAAACATATATTTAACATCGCATGCTTTTGAACCATAAGTCTGCCAGGCGTATATTTCCGCGCGAGCGCACATCCTCACCATCACCTTCATCAGCGCCGCAGCAAAACGCCATCGTCATCGACATTTGCCGCCTTTGCCGCCGTCCCCATCCAAGCACCTTCATCACCGACACATGGGCACCATCATCGCATTGTGATCACCTGCGTCGACGCCACCATTGTCGCCACCAGCATTGGCACTGCCATCGTCATATTCATCGTCGCCACCACCTTCGCTACTGTCATCATCGTTGTCGTTGTTGTTGTTCACGTCATCATGATATCATGATAACGCGCCTGCCCGAGTCACCGATTCGTATCGAAGTGCTCGCGCGCATGCGCGGTTTTTGTTGCGCGCTGTGGCGTTGCCATCGGTAACAACAGTCGTGGCCGCGTCGGTTGTGCCAAAGCAGTTGGCAGCTTTGCGCGCGAGCTTGCGCGCGCCAGCGCCACCGCACAGATGCGCCAGCCATGGCCAGGGAGTCTTCGCACTCGTCGCCGCATGGGCGTTGTAAACCAAGTTTCGGGTGGGAGGGTGAGATGATTGCGCGAGCAGTGGAGTTGACAGCTCATGATTTGGCAACAAGAGTATACGTACTTCAGCATGCACCATCTGGATTGCACCACGTAGTTTGCACCACGCTGGTTGCACCACAAATTCATTCCGCAACACGAAGCAACGCGTAGCATGCATCATGCGACACACATCCAGAGTGCAATAATTAGCCCTGGTTTGTCGCGGACTTGTGAGGAGACCGGATGCTTGATGCAACACCAGCGGGGGTGGGGGAAAACGCAAAAAAAATGCGATGCCGACGACACTGGCGACGCCGAAAACGATGGCGAATGCGCGGCCGCCGACGCCAACGACCGCGTCGACGACGACGGTAACGACGACACGCCTGCGAACCCGCAGCACGCGGTTGTCGTCGCGACGGCACCGCGCGCGGTGGCCCCGGCGGAGAGCTCGCAGGCCAGCGCGGCCTGGCGGCGCCGCTGTCGTTGGTCACCGTCGCCGCCGTTCGTCGCCGTCGCCGTCGCCGCAGACCGAGGAGGAGGAGGAGGAGGAGGAGGAGGAGGAGGATGAGGGATGGAGAACCGCATGTGTTCGGAGGACTTTAGAGGATACAGTGCTGCGGATTTGTTTTGAAGAGTCACAGGATGAAGGATCGATTGTCGAATGTTCTCGCTGGATGAGGGATCGAATTTCCGTGTACTGATCGCCGAGTTAAGTTTATACCGCTGAGTGATGGACACAGGATCGAGTATGTGATGTTTTTGTCGAGGCTCTCAGGCCCCGGGATTCTCATCATCGGCTGCGCCTCGACGAAGGGCGCCCAGTTGTGCCCAGGTCGTCCCGAAGGGCACCCCGAGGCTGAGCTTCAAGGCATGGATGGGAAGTCGACCAGCCAACCAAGATCTAATCGCGCTGTGAGAAGCGGTGGGCGTGGTGCAGAAGGAATTCCTGCTCGCGCACTTTGTGCATTCCCCGCATTATTAGTTACATGTCCTCCTATGCCGAACACTTGAGACTACACAAGAGTTTGCCAGAACCTTAGTGCGCGTGATTCTCATACCCGTACACTTTCATCGGCGTCCTGTCGACCACCGCGAGCAGCTCTTCTGGGAGCGCCACCAGCGATGACAGCAGCACGGGCGCCACGCGCAGCAGTACCACGCGCAGCAGTACCACCAGTGTGACCACTACGAGAAGGGCAAGCAGCACCATGCGCAGCAGTACCGCTCGGAACGGTGCCATTGCCCAGCCTCCTCGCGAGCCGCGGCAGCATTGTGACAACAATGACTGGGACCACCGGCACCACGCAGAGCAGAACAGCTCGACCACCGCGACGTGGACAAAAAACACCACGAGCAGCAGCTTGCGCAGCCAGCAGCACCAGCGCAGCCAGCACCACCATACGCAGCAGCATCATGGTTTTCACCAGCACCAGCTCGCCTACCACGTCGTCGGCAGCCGCGACCGCGTCCTAAGAGGACCACCTGTTGCGGCCGCTGCCTTGAGACGGAAAGCAGGGAATCACAATTGGTGCAGCATGCTTTGATCTGCCAGGGCCTCCGTCGGCTGCAGCTCTGTTTCCGGTTGGGAAGTTGACTGGCTTTCCAATCGCCTTCATTGGCGGCACCTGCGTGCCTGCACCAGTCCCCAAGCTCTGAGGCCATACCGACCTTTTGTTACATCTGCGTTGGCGCCCTGACGGCGACTGCGAGTAGCACGATTGGGAGTGCCACGAATGGCAGTCTCAGCACGAGCTCCACGTGCAGAAGCAGCAGCAGCAACGCAACCAGCAGCACCACTGTGACTACCGCGACCTGAACGAGCGTTGCCAGCACCACTAGCAGGAGCACTTACGCACCACAAGCACCATTTGCAGCAGCAGCACTTGTGCAGCAAGCAGCAGCAGCTCGCCTACCACGGCGACGACAATCTTGGCAATCTCCTGCGGGCGCTACCTAATGATGGGCACACGCCAGAACTGTTCCGAGGAAAGAGTGCGGGACAAAACCAGTATTTGCATGGTGCTTTGGGCTGGCCAGGCCCTCCGTCGTCCTCAGCTGCGCTCAGGTTGCGAATTTGACTGGCGTCCCCGTAACGCTCACCTGCAGCATCCAGCCCGGCGAGCTCTGGAGAATAATTGTGGAGCGCGGCTCCTGGAGCGCCGAGACTTCCTGGACTACCAGTGCGCCCGCATTGGCGTCTTGACGACGACTGCGTACAGCACGATGGGGCGTACCACAAGTGAGAGCAGCAGCGCGGCAACCACGCGCTGCTGCACCACCGAATCAGCAGCGCCACTGATCACCACCACTGGACCCAGCAGCACCGCCCGCAGCAGCAACAGCGTACCCTGCACCATCACGCGCAGCAGCATCAGCACAGCTTGCAGCCCCAGTTCAAGTTCTGGGACCTACTCAAGTTCTGGCTGGGACCCGACCTGGAAATATATTCTGGACCGATCCGTGGACCCAATGGCGAGCGTCCATTCTGGTTCTGCCTCCTCATCCTCCTCTTCCGCTTGCCTCCGAATGTCTGCCTGTTGTGTGCTGCATGCTGCGATGCCTTCCTTGCTGCTCATAATGCCCGTCGCCTCTCTCGTGCTGGCACCCCCGCCGAGCACTTCGAGGCTCGTCTTCGGGTCACCGCTCGTCGTCACAAGGCCTTGTCTAGTGCGTGGGCTGGCCGAACGCCTGCCATTGTGCGCCGACTTTCCCGTCGTCCTCCTCTCCCCCCTCCCCCCCCTCTCCTGAGCAATACCGAGGCGCTGCCGCCCAGGATGCCTGGCACCCCTCGCGGCAGATGGGAGCCTCCTCAGTAGCTGCTCTTCTTAATTCTTTTCTACAGGCCCGATTGGCGTTCAAGTTGTCCGAGGGCCCTCTGCCCTCAGCACTGCTCCGCACTTGGATGCGGACCACCTTGCCGACAGGTAACCAAACAAAGCCAGCGAGAACTGGGTGTTTTTACATAAAAAAACAGCACAGCTAGCAGCCCCAGTGTTAAAACCACCGCGCACCAATTGCAGGAGTCCCAACGCCACCAGCAGCCCCGCTGTGACCACCGCGGCTGGGCCCAGGAGAGCCACGAGCAGCGTCATCTTCGCACCCAGATGCACTACTGCGCCCACCACGACTGGGTCCAACAGCGCAACTCGCAGCAGCACCACGGGCAGCAGCAGTCCGCAGCACCACCGCGTCCACCACGACTTGGTATAGCGGCGTCACGCGCAGCAACACGTGCACATCCGCAGCACCATTCGCAGCACCGCCTGCGCGTCCAGCAGCACCAAGGTGCCTACCCCACCGTCGGGCGCCACGCCCGCCTCCCACGTGGCCTACCCGCTGGTAGCCGCATGCCAGAGTTGCCATGAGGTGGGACTGCGGGGCTCGGCCAGTTCTGCAGGGGGCTCGTCGGTCTCCTCTCTGTTCAAGTCGTGGCTCTGGCCCTCGGGCTCTGCGGTTTTGCTTGGGAAGCCAGCTCCGAGGACGCCGAGGCCTCCCTGGTCTTCCTGCACTTCTTGAATCGGCGTCCTGCTGCGACCGCGGGCAGCCTTGGGGAGCCGCGGCGCGTCGGTCGCTCTCTTCCCCCCCTCCTCTCCGCTCATCCTTGCTGGACCCTCGAGTCCCGGCTGTTTCAGTTTCCGGATCGGGGCTAGTTTGATTGCCTTTTCTCGCCGTGGAGTTTGGGACGATCGTTTGGGGAAAGAAAAGTGGGTAGGTTCCTCCGTTCATTCCTCTTTCTCGCTTCCTCCTTCTCTTGCCTCCAGTCCCCTACCTCAAACATTCGCCTTCCTGCCCCCTCCGTCCTCCTCCCCGCCTCGGTGGTCCCCCCTT